GTCGACCGGTGCGGTCGACCGAGAGCTCCATCGGTCGACCGCACCGGTCGACCGGATAAGTGTTTGCTTGATTTCCTGTTTTCGACCTGGATAACGGTCGACCGAACTTTCCATCGGTCGACCGAATTTTTCCATCGGTCGACCGACGGAATTTTCGGTCGACCGACAATATAGCCGTTGCTTTTTAACGGCTCTTTCTCTGAGCTGTTTGCTGGGGTTTTTGGTCATTTCGTTTTGGGGTTTTTGGCTGAGCTTTGAGTGGGTATATATACCCCATTGCTGATGTCTTTTCAAGTGAGCCAAGAGAGTTTAAAAACAAGTTTAAGAGAGTTTTAATCAAGGGTTTATGTTTGGTTTAAGTGTGTTTATAAGCTTTTAAGCATTTGAGTGTTTTGGTTTTGTGAATCACTTCCACAAGAGCTTGAGGAGATCATCTATTGGTGTTTGAGCATCCAACTCTTCTCCTTCCACTCTTGATCTATTGAGAAGTTTTCTAAACTCAATCTAGCTTCATATTTTATATTGTTTGATTATCTTTTTATTAAGCTAGTGTTCATATTGAGTTTAGTTGATTTTATTATCTCTTTGTTCACACACAACCTATTGAGCTTATTGTATTTACATTCATAGTATAATTTGGGGTTGTGGGTTTGTGACTAAGAGTTGTGCTTAATTGAGTTCTCACCTTGTTTAGAGAACAAATCATTTGATTTATATTGTGCTTATTGTGAGGATTCACTTGTAATACACTTGTACACCGAGAGAAGTGTGTGGTGAGAGACGGGGTCGAATCCAAGAGGAGTGGCGTCGGTTGACGTGCCTAGGGAGAGGTTGTAACCGAGCACTTGAGGAGGAGGACACGGGCTAGGACCAACACTTAGTGTGTGAGGTGTGATTACATAGTGATTGTATTGTGAGGTGTAAACGTTGTTCGGGTGAACGTAGAAAACCCGGTTGTGATAGTGGAGATCTCCTCGAGGTGAGGAGCGGGGACGTAGGTCGTGGGGACCGAACCTCGTAAACATATCCTTTGTTTGTGATTGCATTGGCGCACTTGTTTTCATATTCATATCTTACATCGCCATTGTGTATTGCTTGTTGATCATTTTGCCCTATCACATTTGTAGTTAATTTGTTTACCCCTCTTGTTAGTTTTATATCCTTGCACATACATTGTCTATATCTCTTTGTTAGGATATATCTTATTGTTTATATATCCTTGCATATATTTCTATCATATAGGATATATCACCTTGTGTATATTGCATATTCTTGCACATAACTCTTTGTATATCTATCTTGCAAGAATATATTTGTTAATTAGTTTTAATTGGCATTTAATCGGATTAGATTAGCATAAGACCCTAATCACCCCCCCTCTAGGGTCTAACAATTGGTATCAGAGCTTGGTGCTCTTTGATTTAAGGACTAACCGCCTTGAGTTAAAGATCCAAGTTATCTTATTTGTGCTAATCTAGTTATGATTGCATTTGTCTTGCTTGCATATGTTCATATATATATCTTGAATATGAATGTATTTTGTTTAGGCTATAAATCCAATGTTGCTCCTAAATTCATTAATTTTTCCTATGCACAATGGGCTTCTAGATTTAAACTATTTGTTGAATCTAGAAATATTGACTTATGGAAAATTATTGATTGTGCTTATATTGTGCCCACATTGGAGAAATCTAAGTGGAGCAATCATGATAATAAAATGTTTAATATGAACAAGCTTTTGTTAGAATATTTGCTTAATGCCTTTGACTCATCATTTTCTAACAAATTTGTTCATTTTGATAGTGCTTACAATTTATGGAAATTCATAGAAGCACATCAAGGCAACTTGGAGGAAATCCGACGTAGTTTGGAGGATTGTTCTTCAAGTGAGTGTGGAGCATCATCATGCACACGGCCACTAGGCGATAGCCCTAGTGTGGTAAGCGATTCGGAATCCGATAGTGATATATCCATCAATGAACTCGCTTGTGCATATGATAGATTATCTCATGCCTATACAAAATTGCAAAACAATTTTATTGATCTTAAAAGCAAGCATATTAGTTTAAAATCCGATCATGAGTCGCTAGCTTCCAAACTTGATATTGTTGTTAAAGAGAATGCTATTTTAAAAGAAAACAATGAGTTATTAAGTTTGGAAAATAATAACATGTCTTCATCTATTGCTAGCTTAACTCATGCTAATAATAATGCCATGATAGAAGTAGAAACTATTAGAAATAAGTTTAATTCTTTTAGAAATGATCATGTTTCATCTACTTCTATTTCCAATGCTTGTATGCATAATGATGAATTGAATCTTGTGAAAAACCGAATATCATCTTTAGATTCAACCCTTAAAACATGCATTGTAGATAATAAGAAACTTATGGACTTGGGTGCAAAGTCTAGTACTACAACTTCTAAACTTCTAAGAAACCTACACACTATGCACACATGTATAACAAAGTCTATAAATGCACTAATTGCGGTCGTAAAGGCCACCTTGCTAGATTTTGTTATAATGCACAAAAACCCATCAAGATTAATCATGTTTGTGCATCCCATCAAGCTTCATTATCACACTCACATGTACACACACGTATAGATCATCATAAACATGCCCATATGTACAAATGTGAGTTTTGTGGTCGTTTTGGTCATTTGGCCAAATTTTGTTTTGATTTAAAGAGAGTTTCACATTTGCAAAATAATTTTAAAAGATCATCCATGTTTGCAAATGTTTCTAATGTTTCCCGTGCACAACCGTTTGGTCAACATAAGCAAATGCTTCCTTTCCATTGTACTTATTGCAATCGGAAGGGTCATTTGAGTAATTTTTGTTATGACCGTGTTCGTGCACCATATGCGCCTAAGAGGGTTTATAACCCTAGGGCTTTGAGCTTCATTGATAGGGGTCATGTCCCTAAATCTTTTGGTACCAAGAATACTTGGGTACCAAAACAAATTTGATTTTAAACTAAGAACTTTAGTGTTTTTTTTTTTTGTCTTGGTTTTGAAAATTATGTTTTAAGATCTTTTGGTTATGAAAACAATTTTTTCTTTTATCAAATCCTTTGTTTTCATGATTATTAGTTTTGATTTTGATGAGAGGTTTGTATTTATATAACCCTCCGGATTTATTGGGTGTTTATTCCCAAATCATGTTTACCGGATGCTAGAATGATTATATGGGTTGGAACAAGCTTAAGAGCTTGATATATTGTTGCCTCTCTTGAAATTCTTTTGTCAAAGAGTTTGTTTTGAATTATTGCTTTGAATTCATTATATTTCACTTATATGATGATATTTATGTGTTTGTGCTTATGGATCATCTATTCGTGCCTTATAATGTATTCCATATGTGGTTTGATCAAATCCCACAAAGAAAATTTTCTTGATTGATCAAACATCGTTTTTGGATTTAAACTTTGATTTATGATTTCTTTTGGTTGATTTGTTTTCATTTGAAAACTTTTTACATGGTTCTCATGTTTTCATTTGATTTCATAAATCTATCTTTACACATGGTTTTTATGGTATTTGATATGAGACACTATTTTTTCATATTGATATATTCATATGTGTTCTCATTATCTCTTGAATGTGAGTGATTGTTAGCATATCTTTTATGCTTGCTCACATATTTTCCATGATCTTTTTTTCATATTCTCCATATGGCATTTTGATAGGGGGAGCAATCTCTATATCTTTTTATGTTTTTTATACTCACCTATGCTTATTGATAGGGGGAGCTTTCGCTCTCTTAATTATTTTGTCCCCTTTTTTGATGTTGTCAAAGGGGGAGAAATATTATGAGTATATTCTTTCTTGTTTATATGCATGTGAATTATAAATTATATATTCATTTCCTTCATGCATATATTTCTTTTTGTAAATTGTTTGTCATCATCAAAAAGGGGGAGATTGTTGGTCTTCTTGTTTTGATGATGTTTAACAAATAATTTACTACTAATGTTATTTGTCTAGTGTCTGTGCATTCCTATGTATTGTAGACAAACAACATAGTTGGAGGATGGATGGAATAGAGCTTCAACGATCATATCAAATGGAGGTTGGCGGAATTGTGGAGTGAAGCAACATAATTCANNNNGTCTAGTGTCTGTGCATTCCTATGTATTGTAGACAAACAACATAGTTGGAGGATGGATGGAATAGAGCTTCAACGATCATATCCAAATGAGGTTGGCGGAATGTCGGTGAAGCCTTGCAATTCAAGTTAAAGATCAAGTTCAAGCTTCATCCGCATGTGTACCAAGTCGAGCTTAATGAAGATCAAGATCTAGCTTGGGTAATTTAGTTTAGGATTTATATTATGTGTGTTAAGTACTCTAAGCTCAATTATCTATACACACACATTTATTGGTTTCTTCGTGTATATATATATAGTTATATATATATACATAAGTTTTGGTTTCTATGCATATATATAGTTTTATATATATACATACATATGTTTTGGGTTTTCATGTTTATAAATATGAAATCACATATTTCATATTTACTCTTGTGTTTTTGAAAACATTGCATAGAATATGTAATTTTGTGAAAATATTATCGTATTAGTTTATAAACTTCAATATCAGTTTATACATGTTTTACTAAGTCTATAAAAACATTTCACAAAGTTTCAAAAGTTAGTTTATGTCAAAACATCAAAATTCAAGTATCTCATATTTTTATGTTTTGGACTATTTTGTAAAATGATGATATGTTTCATTTGGGAGGTCTTTTTTGAAAACCAGTCTTTGTAGCATATTTATTATCATGTCTACAATCATTCCCCAAAGTTTTACATTTTTTGGAATTTATTTGATATTTTTAAACAGTGTTTTAAAATCAGCAAAACAACCTGTTTTTCTGCTATGTCAGTTCTCGGTCGACCGCACCGGTCGACCGATCATTTAATCTTTCATCACTGGGCAACAGAGAGTCTGTCGGTCGACCGGTCCGATCGACCGAAAGCTCCATCGGTCGACCGCACCGGTCGACCGACGATTGTCCAGAGCTGGTTTTCGTATTTTTGCGCTCCATCGGTCGACCGACAGAATTTCCGGTCGACCGACAATAGATCCGTTGCACTCCAACGGCTATTTTTCAGAGCTGTTTGTTAGGGCTGTTTTTGTCTTTTGTTAGGGGTTTTGGCTGAGTTTTTGAGAGGGTATAAATACCCTATTGCTGCTCTCTTTCAAAGGTAATCTAAGAAGTTTTTAAACAAAGTGTTTAAACAAGGGTTTAGGGTTTTACTGTTTGTTTAAGTTTGGGTTTCTGTTTACAAAGGAGAAAGTTTTCACTGCAGATTAAGGGATTTATTCTCAATCCCCTTCATCCTCTTCTTTGTGTTCATAGAGAAGTTTTCTAACTCTTTTCTCTAGCAATTTCATTATTGATTTTCATATTCTTATTATTGCTAGTTTGCTATTTGAGTTAGATTTTATTTTACTCATTGTTACACATACCCACATTGAGCTTTTATATTGCTAGTTTGCTATTTGAGTTAGATTTTATTTTACTCATTGTTACACATACCCACATTGAGCTTTTAGTATTTACATACATAATATAGTTGGGTGGTGAGAGATTGTAACATTGAATTGTGCTTTCATTGTGTTCTCATCCATAGTTGAGAACAATCAAATTATTGTATTGAGTCTTATTGTGAGATTCACTTTGCAATACACTTGTACACCGAGTGAGGAGTGTGTGGTGAGAGTCGGGGATCGTCCCAAGAGGAGTGGTGTCGGTTGACGTGCCTAGGGAGAGGTTGTAACCGAGCACTTGAGGGAGACACGGCTAGGTCCAACACTTAGTGGGTGTAGAGTGGGATTACAATAGTGTGTTGATTGTAAAGTTTTCGGTTAGCTAGAAAAACGAGTGTGAGGTGTAAACGTTATTCGGGTGAACGTAGAAAACCCGGTTGATAGTGGATTTCTCCCCGGGAGTGGGGAGCGGAGACGTAGGACGGAAGGTCCGAACTCCGTGATCATATTGCTTGTTTGAGTTTGTCTTTGGCGTATTTGTTTTTGCATTCATCTTATATCGCCAATTGTGCATTGCTCATTCATTTCATCCACTATCCTTTTTAGATTATTTACCCTTGTGTTGTTTATATATCCTTGCATATATTTCTATCATTTAGGATATATCTTGTTGTTCATATTGCTTATCCTAGATCACATATCTTGTTATATTTTATACTTTCTAGGATAACTTATTAATTAATTTTTAATTAGCATTTAATCGGATTAGATTAGCATAAGACCCTAATCACCCCCCTCTAGGGTCTAACAGCAATATCTGAGTGAGCTGGAAACAAAAAAAGTGATTGCAAGAAGTGATAGTTATCAACTTTGAATGTGTGTGAAGCTTGATGGATCATCTAGAATTACAATTCAGTGAGGTATTAATTTATTTCCCTTGATACAAAAAAGAGCATGAACACGCATAAGCATCATGCTTTAAATAGCTGAAATGGAAAAAAATGGCCAGCTCAAATCAGATGACATCTCACAAGATAAAAATAGAATCTGAAACAACATCAAAGAAAACCACTGAGCATCCAGATAGAATAGTTGTCTCCTTTCTTTGATTTCAATAACTTAAAAAGAGTAGTAGTCTCCTTTCCATTCACTTCAACCTACAAAAAAAAAGTGTCAGTCACATATAGTTACATGAAATTTTGTTCTAGAACAATGGCAACATAGTGAAAATTTATGTTGTATATTTGCTAAGTGCAAGGGAGATCTATAACTAAGCCAAAATTTAAAGCTAATAATCATGTCGTGTGAAAATTAACACTATATTTTCTTTTTCCAATCACGCTACCCATCGAAAACCAAATCTAGTTAGTTTGAAGATATTCACATTTAGAATTCCTTTACTCAAAATCACAAACTGTGCGTTTTGAGAATTCAATAAGCCTATAAGATATTGTATGCATCCCTATATTTTAAGATACTGAATATAAACTGACTGTAAGTTGATAGTAGCAAATTCGAACTCCATATCTATGCAAAGCAAAAATAGAGGATAATGAATAATATAGTTGAGAATTATATCTCATATATGTACTCCATTGTTTAATTTAGCACATATAAAGTGGGCAGGCGAAGAGAATTGTATGTAAAGGGACTATTTGAAAATTTTGATATCCAACAGTTTAAGAAGTTGAATCAAATTTAACAAAAGCAATGTAAAAAATATTACTAATGAATGGTGTCACAATAAACCTATTCACAATATGATTGCTAACACAATTTCTCTTATTAACACATTTTGACACTCATAAAATATGTAATATTGATCTTCACTGATAAATAGAGCCCATTGAAAGACAGAATACATGAAGTCCAAGTGCCCATTTCCTTTCACCTGGATGCAGTCCCATCCCCATTACCTGATGGTCCATATATCCTGGCTTACGATGTTTGATTGCTGCCGTTGGAGTATCTGTTGAACTCATTCGAGATAAACCAGATTCCTAAATAGATACATAAAAATCTCCATTTATCTTATGAGCAAAGAAAATATTGTACAAACTACAGACTAAGAATGTACCATGGTTTCCTGATACTCTACCCCAAGATAGCCAGTACTGTAGCTGCGGGAAATCTATTGTCCAAAAGAAAGTAGTATGCAACAGTGCCCTATATAGACCCAAAGAAAATAAGATATGGTTACCGAAAGAATTGGCTATGATAGTTTTAGTTCATGGGATTTCAGGAATACCTCATTTTGTCTTCTATTGTGAAGTGATTCAACTAACTGGTTTTTCTCAAAACCCATTTTAACTACCTCCTGAAGAATTTCCTCATCAATCTGCAAAGAAGAGCAAAGCGCCAGGACCATAAAGTCAGGCACATGACAATTTAGCAGCATAGCACTACAGAAGTAAAAAAGAAATCATATTGCAAGGGATTTGAACATATCTGATTTGATAATCTCAATCACTTAAGTGTAAGTGAAGAGCATTTAAATGTGTAACTTAATGATCTCAATTTTCTATTCTGCTGGTCATGAACAGAAAATGAAAGAATAGGTGCTGAAAGTAATATTGAAAAGAAGTGATGTTAGAGCTCCGTGCTGCCTACACAAAAATTTCATATATGTAAAAGTTTATCCATGATCAGTTTTCTAATACCAATATGTGTCGTTTACCCTAATGAAGATCAATGCTAACATTTGCCAGAAACTATGTAATATAAACAACAAAATATCACCGTTTACCCTAATGAAGATCAATGCTAACATTTGCCAGAAACTATGTAATATAAACAACAAAATATCACCCGGACCAGCAGCTTGAGAACAATTTATCTTCTTAGCTTGTTGCATTGTATCTGGTGGTGGCACAACCAGATAGCGAAGAAGACGAGCTTGAAACCATGGATGTTCACAGATTTCACGAAGAGTCATTCGCTTCATAGGGTCAACAACAAGCATCCTAGGTATCAAATCCCTTGCTAGAGCAGATAAATGGCTTGGAAGAGTATATATCCCACCCTGTACAACCAAATACCCCAAAATTCAGAGGTGTACTTATACCTATATCAACAAAAAAGTTGACGTAAGAACAGGATATTTTCTTGCCTTTATTTTCTGAAACAGATTAGGGATGTTTTCATCATCAAAGGGAAGTGTGTTACAGAGAAGAGCATAAAGAATGACACCACAACTCCATACATCAACCTCTGGATCAGCATATAGTTTACCTGAGATAACCTACACTAGAATGACACCACAACTCCATACATCAACCTCTGGATCAGCATATAGTTTACCTGAGATAACCTACACTGTAAAACCTGCATTAAGCATCCATCATATACTTGTAAATATAACAAGGTGCATGGTCTTTTGGTATAATCCTACCTCCGGAGCAGCATAGTTGGGACTTCCACATAGATTTCTCTAAGAAGTTTACACAATTTTTACCGAAAGGTGATATCTGAATTCACTTCAACAGAAATATAATCTATTACAATTTTTGTGAATAGGACTAACATAATCTATGTTATATACTCTTTTACTTGAGTACAACATTTTCTAATGAAAATCGGCCAAGCTTGAATAAACCTTCAAGTTTGTTTAGACGCTCAAAGAAACATGTACGTCCAGCTTGTTTAAGGACCTTAAAAGTGGCTACATTCGGGTTTGTACACAGTGTCTGCATGTCCACCCCAATTCTCCACCTAGTCAAAAGGATCACAAAGGGATTCTCATTCAGCCACTCAGCCCCATTCTTAGAGAGTAAAACAAAAGCTAGATAGCGACCTAAGAAACAGTCTTCTTCCCTCAATTTCAAGTATAATATTCAACAAAATGGGGAAGTATGAAATATTCACCACGACCCACCCCTCAAAAAAATGTCTTCTATTGGATTTTCCTTTACCTTTTCACTCTATCCTTTAAGATTGTCATCTGTATGTAAGAACATCTAGACATAATTCATATCATAGTCCATTTTTCGGGACAATTTTATCTGGAACCTCAAATAAATTATAAAATAAGCTCATCCATGGGGAAAACACAATCAAAATGGAGATCATCATCTATCAGCATGCTTAAAGGTCGTCACAACCAATACATGAAAGAAGAATTTTCAATTTCATCAAAATATTAGTTCCACTCAAATTCTCATTGTTTGTAAGATTTTCCGTTTCTCATCCCTTCAATTTGTACATGTTAAATGTCACAATAATATATTAAAAAAAATGAAATATCCTCACGTAGGGATGCAAACATCACCACATTAACATACATGGCATTAGGTCTAATCTTCATTCTCGTATATTAATGATTCCAAAGATTATTAAACTATTTCAGACAGCTAAAAAATAGAGGAATAAATCATATGAGCAAGAATATACCATCAAATTCAGTACTGAAACCCTAAATTCTAAACAAGGAAGAGAAGAATACAACCGAGAGCAAACTCCATACCTGACAAAGCTAATGTGGACACTTAGGCTCCGGTGCACTGCAGAGCAATCGATGCGAAGAAAGATTCCGTACGTCACTAATGCCCACGTCGGATTCTTGGCGTTGCAATCAAAGCACATCTTAAATTTAAAATTTGAAACAAAAATCAATAGTCGAAAACAAATAAATCTCAAATTCGAATCACCTTGTCCTTATCGAGATCGATCACCTTGTTCTCAGAACCTAATCCATTTTAGAAAAATGAAATTTTGATTCAAGAGCAAGACCGGGGAAGAGATCGATCACCTTGTTCTCAGACCGAGATCTGAGCTTCTTAAAGACGGCGTTTTTATCGGGGACACCATTGGAAACCATTGGGTTTCAGAGGAAGACATCTTCATGACCTCGCGAACGGTCACTTCCTTTGCCTCGATCTCCTCCATTTGTGGATCGATCTGAGATGGACGAAGCAGAAGAAGAAATTAGATAACAGCAAAACCTAGAAAACTCACTAACGATTCGCTCAAATCCTGAACACAGATTCTCCTTCTCTTTGTGATTCGATCCAGTTAAGCTTTCCAAAATCGAGCTAAACTAAGCGAGAAACCCTAAAATCATCAAATCGATGACAGATCTAAGAAATTTAGAGGTCGAGGACGGCGTCTTCATCATCTTCGCCGGTAGTGAATGCGACCTCCTCTATCTTGATGAACGGAGAGATCTGAGCTCCGGTGAACGCGACGTTGTGAGCTCATCGTCATCTCCTTGATCGTCATCGGAGATCGCCATGGCAATACTTTGAGAGAGAGAGAGAGAGAGAGAGAGAGAGAGAGAGAGAGATAAGAAAGAGAGAGAGAGAGAGAGAGAGAGAGAGAGATTGAAGAAAATGGGAACAAAGAGAGGGTGAGGGAAAAAAGGACCGTTGGAGTTCGGGCTTAACTTAAGAGAGCTCATATATAGAAATAGAAGAATCAGAAGAATTGTAGAGGAAGAGGAAGCGGGGCGGGGGTTGAGAAGAGGAAGAATCTAAAGAGGCAGAGGGCCAGGTGAGTGGACTGTGGACGGTTAAATGAGGGAGCGAGGGTGCGGGTGGGACGAAGAGACGGGGATTCATCCGTTTCTCAACCACGGAAATACAGAAGAATCTGAGATGAAGAGGCAAAACAAGAATAAATAGATAGAAATATAGGATAAAATTATAATTAAGCAAATTGAAAAGGGCAAAATGGGTATGCAAAAGTTTTGACACTTGTTTTCTCTTTTAGAAGTAGTATAGATAAGATTCTAAATTTTTAACCTTAACTAGTATAGTGCACATGCGTTGCACGTAATTATATTTGTTCATGTCCTTAATACGTTTTGTGGATAGGAAAATGACAAAATTATATAATGCAAAAAATAGAGATCTAAAATAAAGAATTAGAAAGAAATTTTGATCATTCTAGAGTAAAATCATACATACTGGAATAAAGATTAGCATAATTATTTTCATCATTAGTTGTTATATTTCTAAAGCTGAAGGATCCAATAGTGAAAATAATACTATGGATATGTAAATCTAATCAAGTTGTTATATTTCTAAAGCTGAAGGATCCAATAGTGAAAATAATACTATGGATATGTAAATCTAATCAAGGGCGCCATATAGTATAAACGTCAATATGCTTCATAATCTAGTGACTTATGGAGTAGCAATATTAACACTCAAATTCAAAAAAGAATAGATAGTAGAAAGAGAGCTAAACTAACTTGTAATAGAGAATAGGAGCTAAAGTGCCTTTTCTACATTAGAAATTCCATAATATAGAAGAAAGTAATGAAAGTTAGTTAATAGCTAAAAAAATAAAAAGTGACAAACAAGAAGCTTAGTTTATCAATAACCTCACCAAAACAAATTTTAAAAAAATAGCCATTTGAATAGTACTCCCTTAAATCTTTCGTATTTTGAAATAGTCCCTCAAATCATTGATGTTCCCTAATATTCCTTAAGTTATTTTAAAATTAATCCCTCCTATGATTGAAATTGCTAATAGGTTACCCAATCTTTAAGTTATCTTAAACTTAACCCCTCAATCCAAAACATTCACTATAACAAAAATGTTAATAACCAACACTTCTTGCATTATCAAATAACTCAGCAAGTTCAACGTTGCTTACTTGAAAAAGCTAAGCTCCCGATGAAAGCTTCAAATCAGGCGAAAAGCTTGTCTCATCACTACCCACAACCTCCCCTGCTGTTGATCGTGATCTAATGATATACAATAACCTTTAGTTATCACAAACATTAAATTAAACTTCTCCTTCTTTTTCAAGCGCCTTTGCTAGAGAAGTTATCACATGCGGTGGCTGTGGCGGTCAAAGGGGGCCATGTTCGGGAAAGTTGAGCTTAGCTCAATTTTCTCATAAGCGGAGGGTAGTCTCGTCATAGTCGAGGGCATCAACCTCAATAGTCTCAAAGGTGCTGAGGTAGACGTGAGGGTCTTTATGCGAATCTCGTATATCAGCAATCTAGTTGCCCCATGGCCGTGTATGAACATTGCGGTAGTAGCGGCAAGGCCTATGTTGGTTTTATTTTCGCCGGTTGTGGTTGTTTTTTCTTTGTTTCTGTTATTGCCATAAGAGAAAAAAGTTTAATACTTTGTTGAAACAAAAGGTACACCGTGAATTTTAATACATTAGTTGTTAAAGCAAAGATTATTTTTAGTTTTGTGTTTACAATTATAACCTCACCGAGTGTACATCACTTGCATCGTCCATCTTTGCCCCACTCATTCTTTTCCCTTCCTCTTGAACTTTGGAATTCAAAAACACATGTGCCCTTTGCCTAATGATTTAGGGGGGAAAGGAAGTTTAAATAAGAAATCAATAATTAATCACATGGGAAGTGGAATAGGTAGAGGCAAAGGCTGAGGAAACGGTTCATTTGAGGATTGGTACAGAGCGTTCGGTGGCTCTTTGATTTAAGGAGCTGAATCCGTCTTGATGTTAAAGATCAAGTTATCTTATTTGTGGCTAAATCTACGTTCTGATTACTTTTGTCTTGCTTGCATATTTTCATATATGATATCATGAATATGAAGTTATGTTTCGTTTGGCTATGATTCAAATGTTGCTCCAAAGATTTAGAAATTTCTCTTATGCTGCAATGCGTGCTCTAAATTTAAAATATTTAGTTGCATGCTAGAAATATTGACTTTATGGGAAGTTATTTAATTGTGCTTATATTGTGCCCAGCATTGGAGAAAACTCGCAAGGTGGGCATCATGAGTGAGAAAATGTTTCTCATGAGCAAGCTTTGTTAGAATTTTTGCTTAATGCTTTGAACTCATTCCTTTTCTAAGCAAATTTGTTCTTTTGATAGTGGCTTACAATTTATCGGAAATTCATAGAAGCACATCAAGGCCAACTTGAGGAAATTCCGACGTAGTTTGAGATTGTCCTTCCAAGTGAGTGGTGAGTCATCTGCCAACGGCCATCTAGGAGGCGATAGCCTCTAGTGTGGTAAGCGATTCGGGAATCGATAGTGATATATCGCATAAGTGAACTCGCTTGGTGCATATGATAGATTAATGGCATGCCTATACTAGTTGCTATAATAATTTTATAGATTGTGAAAAGCAAGCATATTAATTTGAAATCCGATCATGAGTCGGCTAGCTTCAAACATTGATATTGTTGTTAAGAGAATGGGCTATTTTGTAAAGAAAAGCAATGAGTTATTAGTTTTTGGAAAATATAACATGGTCTTCATCTATTGCTAACATTACATCATGCTAAAAATGATCATCGATAGAAGTAGAAACTATTAGAAATAAATTGTAATTCTTATAGAAATGATCATCGTTTCATCTACTTCTATTATCGCAATGGCTTGTATGCATAATGATGAATTGAATCTTGTGAAAAACCGAATATCATCTTTAGAATTCACCTTAAAACATGCATTGTAGATAGATAAGAAAACTTATGAGACTTGGGGTGCAAAAGTCTAGTACTACAAACTTCTAAACTCGTCACTTTGCAGCACTTGTATAGTAAACTTATAAGTGCCGCATTTGTGGTCGTCCAAGCCATTTAGGACTAAGTTTTGCCTATGATGCACAAAAGCATAAGAAAATATTAATCGCTTCTTGGTGCATTTCATAAGGCTTCTTCTTCATCACATGTAACACGAGCATGCACCCATTGTTCATGCTAAGGCATACTAATGTGTATCATTATGATTTTTTGTGGTAGAATTGGTCACTTAGCAAGTTTTGTTTTGATTTGCGGAAGAAGTTTCTAATCGCAAATATTTTCAAGTAGACGCAACATTATTTCAAAAATGCTTCTCATGTTGCAAATAATGCTTAAAAGACTCTTACTTGGGCAAATGTTCTCGTGCAACACCATATGGTCAACATAACCAAATGCATCTGCTTCATTGTAGCTTATTGGCAATCGAATGGGTCATTTATATAATTATTGCTATGACCGACCGTGCACTAAATACGCCCAAATGGGTTCATAACCCTAGGGGCTTTGACGCTTCATTGAATCAGGGGTCATGTCCCTAAATCTTTTGTAGGCCAAGATACTTGGTACCAACAAATTTGATTTTAAACTAAGAACTTTTAGTGTTTTTTTTTTTTTGTCTTGGTTTTGAAAATTATGTTTTAAGACTCTTTTGGTTATGAAAACAAATTTTTTCTTCTTATCAAAATCCTTTGTTTTCATGATTATTATTTGATTTGACTGAGAGGCGTTTGTATTTATATAACCTCCCTGCCGATTTATTGGGTGTTTTATTCCCAATCATGTTTACGGAATGCTAAAATGATTTACTATTGGTGAAAACAAGCTTAAGAGCTTGATATAATTGTTGCCTCTCTCTGAAATTTGTTTTGTCAAAAGAGTTTGTTTTGAATTATTGCTTGAATTCATCTATATTTCACGTTATATGATGATATTTATGTGTTTTGTGCTTATGGATCATTATTCGTGCTTATAATGTATTCCATATGTGTTTGAGATCAATCCCACAAAGAAAATTTTCGTTGATTGATCAAAACGTACATTCGTTTTTGGATTTAACTTTGATCTTATGATTTTTTTTTGGTTGATTTGTTTTGCATTTGAAAACTTTTTACCATGGTTCTCATGTTTTCATTCTGATTCATAAAACTCTATCTTTTACACATGTTTTTATGGTATTTGATATCGAGACACATTTTTCATACTTGGATATATTCATATAGTGTTCTCATTATCTCCTTGAATGGTGAGCTGACTTGTTAGCATATCTTTTATGCTTGCTCACTTGTAATTTTTCCATGATCTTTTTTTCATATTCTCGCATATGGCATTTTGATAGGGGGAGCAATCTCTATATCTTTTATGTTTTTTATACTCACGACTATGCCTTATTGATAGGGGGAGCTTTCGCTCGTCCTTAATTACTTTTGTCGCCCTTTTTTGATGTTGTCAAGGGGGAGAAATATGTATAGTAATATCTTTCTTGTTTATATGCACTGTGAATTATAAATTATATATTCATGTTCTTCATGATATATTTCTTTTTGTAAACTTGTTTGTCATCATCAAAACAGGGAGATTGTTGTCTTCTTGTTTGATGATGTTTAACAATAATTTACTACTAATGTTTATTTGTCTAGTGTCTGTGGCATTCCTACTGTATTGTCAGACAAACAACATAGTTGGAGGATGGATGGAATAGAGGCTTCAACGATCATAATCCAAATGAGGTTTGGCGAATGTCGTGAACGCCTTGCAATTCAAGTTAAAGATGCAAGTTCAAGCTTCATCGCGGCATGTGTACCAGTCGAGTCTTAATGAGATCAAGATCTAAGCTTGGGTAATTTAGTTTAGGGATCTTATATTATGTGTGTTTAAGTAGCTGCTAAGCTCAATATATCTATAGCACACACATTTATTGTTTTTTCAGTGTAATATATATATATATATATATATATATTACATAAGTTTTGGTTTGTATGCATCAATATAATAGTTTTATATATATACATTAGCATATGTTTTTGGGTTTTTAATTTATAAATATGAAGATCACATATTTCATATTGTCATCTTGTGTTTTTTTGGAAAACATTGCGGCATAGAATATGGTAATTTTGTGAAAATATTATCGTATTAGTTTTAAACTTCAATATCAGTTTATACATGTTTTAGCTAAAGTCTACATAAAAGCATTTCACAAACGTTTTTCAAAAGTTAGTTTATAGTCAAACACTCAAAATTCAAGTATTGCATATTTTCATTGTTTTGGAGCTATTTTGTAAAAATGATGATATTTTTCAATTTGGGAAGTCCTTTTTGGAAACCGGCCAGTTATTGTAGCATGTTTATTATCATGTCTACAATTATTCCCCAAAGTTTTTACATTTTTTGGAATTTATTTGATATTATTTAAACCGTATTTCTAAAATCAGCTCTAAAACCTGTTTTTTCTGGCTATGTCAGTTCTCCGTCGACCCACCGGTGCGCCCGATCATTTAATCCTTTCATCACTGGGCAACAGAGAGTCCTGCTCGGTCGCCGGTCGTCGACCGAAAGCTCCATCGGTCCCCGCACGCGGTCGCGCGACGATTGTCCAGAGCTGGTTTCGTATTTTGCGCTTCCAATCGTCGTCGCGATCAGAATTTCGTCGCCGACATAGATCCGTTGCACTCCAACGGCTTTATTTTTCAGAGCTGTTTTGTTAGGGCTGTTCTTTTGTCTTTTGTTAGGGGTTTTGCTGAGTTTTGAGAGGGTATAAATACCCTATTGCTGCTCTCTTTCAAAGGTAATCTAAGGAAGTGTTTTTCAAACAAATGTTTTAAACAAGGGTTTAGGGTTTTACTGTTGTGTTTAAGTTTGGGTTTCCTGTGTTAGCAAAGGGAAAGTTTCCACTGCAGATTAAGGGATTTATTCTCATCGCCTTCATCGCTCTTCTTTGCTGTTCATAGACGAACGTTTTCTATACTTTTTCTCTAGCAATTTCATTAATTGCTTTTCATATTCTTATTATTGGCTAGTTTGGCTATTTTGAGTTAGATTTTATTTACTCATTGTTAGCACATACCACATTGAGCTTTGTGTATTTACATACATAATATAGTTGGGTGGTGAGAGATTGGTAACATTGAATTGCTGCTTTCATTGTGTTCTCGATCATAGTTGAGAAGCAATCAAATTATTGTATTGAGGTCTTATTGTGGAGATTCACTTTGGCAATACACTTGTACCACCGAGTGAGGAGTGTGTGGTGGAGAGTCGGGGATGGCGTCCAAGAGGAGTGGGTGTTCGGTTGACGAGTGCCTAAGGGAGAAGGTTGTAAGCCGAGCACTTGAGGAGACCACGCTAGGTCCCCACACTTAGTGGGTGTAAGAGTGGGATTACAATAGTGTGTTATTGTTAAAGTTTTCGGTTTAGCTAGAAAAACGAGTGGTGAGGTGTAAACGTTATCGGCGTGAACGGTAGAAACCCGGTTGATAGTGGGATTTCTCTCCCGGACAGTGGGAGCGGAGACGTAGACGGAAGGTCGAACTGCCGTGATTTCCATATTGCCTTGTTTTGAGTTTGTCTTTGGCGTATTTGTTTTTTTGAGCATTCATCTTATATCGCCAATTGTGGCTATTGCTCATTCATTCATCCACTAATCCTTTTTAGATTATTTACCCTTGTGTTGTTTATATATCCTTGCATATATTTTATCATTTAGGATCATATCTTGTTGTTGCAATATTGCTTATCCTAGATCACATATCTTTGTTTATATTTTATACTTTCTAGGATAACTTATTAATTAATTTTTAATTTTAGCATTTAATCGATTAGATTAGCATAAGACCCTAATCACCACCCTTCTAGGGTCTAAGCAGGCAATCATTCTGAGTGAGGCGGAAACAAAAAAAGTGATTGCCAGAAGTGATAGGTTTTATCAAGCTTTGACATGTGTGTGAGCTTGATGGTCATCTAGAATTAGTCAATTCAGTGAGGTATTAATTTATTTCCCTTGATCACAAAAAAGACGCTGAACACGGCATAAGCATCAAATGCTTTAAATAGCTGAAATGGAAAAAAAATGGCAGCTCAAATCAGCTGACAGTCTCACAAGATAAAAAATAGAATCTGAAAGCAACGTTTCAAAGAAACCACTGGCATCCAGATAGGAATAGTTGTCTCCTTTCTTTGATTTTCAATCAATTAAAAAGAGTAGTAGTCTCCTTTCCATTCACTTCAAGCCTACAAAAAAAAAGTGTCAGGTCACCATATAGTTACATGAAATTTTGTTCTAGGAACTAATTGGCTAACATAGTGAAAATTTATGTTGTAATATTTTGCTAAGTGGCAATAGGGAGATCTATAAGCTAAGCCAAAAATTTAAAGCTAATAATCATGTCGTGTGAAAATTAACACATATTTTCTTTTTCGGCAATCACGCTACCGCATTCGAAAAACGCAAATCTAGTTGAGTTTGAAGATATTCCATTTAGAAATTCCATTTACTGCAAATCAAACTGTGCGTTTTGAGAATTCATATAAGCGCTAATAGATATTGTATGCATCGCCTATATTTTAAGATACTGAATATAACTGCTGTAAGTTGATAGTAGGCAAATTCGAACTCGCATATCTAATGCAAAGCAAAAATATATATCGAGATAATGAATAATATAGTTGAGAATTATATCTCATATATGTATCCATTGTTTAATTTAGCAGCATATAAGTGGGCAGGCGAAAGAATTGTATGTAAAGGGACTAATTTGAAATTTTGATATCCAACAGTTTAAGAAGTTGAATCAAATTTAACAAAAGCAATGTAAAAAAATATTACTAATGAATGGTGTCACAATAAACGGAGGCTATCACAATATGATTGCTAACACAATTTCTTATTATATACACATTTTGACACTCATAAAAATAATGTAATATGTGAATCTTCACTGATAAATAGAGCCATTGAAAGACTGGGGAGAATACATGAAGTCCAAGTGCCCATTTCCTTTCACGACTGATGGCAGTCCCCTCGCCCATTACCTTGATGGTCCATGATATCCTGGCTTCGATGTTTGAGTTGGCTGCCGTTGGAAGCATGCTGTTGAACTCCTTCGAGATAAACTCAGTTGCCTAAATAGATACATAAAAATGCTCCATTATCTTATGAGCAAAGAAAATATGTTACACAACTACAGCTAGATTAAATGTACCATGGTTTCCTGATACTCTGCACCCAAGACTAGCCAGTACTCGTAGCTGCGGGAATCTATTGTCAAAAGAAATATAGCACATGCCCTTAATAGAACCCAAAGAAAATAAGATATGTTACCAGAAAGAATTGGTCTATGATAGTTTTAGTCAATGGGATTTCAGGGATACCTCATTTTGTCTCTATTGTGAAGTGATTCAACAAGATGTTTTTTCTCAACAGCCCCATTTAAAACTACCTCCTGAAAATTTCCGCTCATCAATCTGCAAAGAAGAGCAAAGCGCCAGGACGCTGATAAAGTCAGGCACATGACAATTTAGGCTAGCATAGCACTAAGGAAGTAAAAAAGAAATCATATTGCAAGGGATTGAACCATATGCTAATTTGATAATCTCATCACTTAAGTTAAGTGAAGAGCATGTTAATGTGTAACTTATGCTCATTTCTTTAACTTTCCCCCTTCCCTGGCCTGGTCATCGGAACAAAAATAAGAATAGGTGGCTGAAAGTAAATTGTGAAAAGAAGTGAGTTTTAGAGCTCCGTGCTGGCCATACACAAAAATTTCATTTATATGTAAAAGTTTACCATGATCAGTTTCTTAATACAATGATGTCGTTACCCTAATGAAGATCATGCTAACGATTTGGCCAGAAACTAGTAATTAAACAACAAAAAAATATCACCCGGACCAGCAGGACTTGACGAACAATTATCTCTAGCTGTTGCATTGTACTGGTGGCAACAAACAGCTAGGAAGAAACGACTTGAAACGATGGATGTCACAGATTTCACAAGAGTCATTGCGCTCATCAGGGTCCACCAAGCATCCTAGGTACAAATCCGCTTGCTAGAGGTCAGATAAATGGCTTGGGAAGAGTATATATCCACACCCTGTACAACCAAATACACCCAAAATTCAGAGGTGTACTTATGAACCTATATCAACAAAACAAGTTGATCGTAAGAACAGAATTTTTTCTGCCTTTATTTCTGAAACAATAGGATGTTTTCATCATCCAAGGGAGTGTGTTACAGAGAAGAGATAAAAGAAGAACACACAACTCCATACATCTACCTCTGGATCAGCATATAGTGTTAACCTGGAGATACACACTGTAAACTGGCATTAACGCACCCATCATATACTTGTAATATAACAAGTGTGGCATGTCTTTTGGTATAATCCTACTCCGGAGCAGCATAGTTGGGACCTTCCACAATAGATTTCTTAAGAAAGTTTACCACAATTTTTTACGCGAAAGGTGATTATCTGAATCAGCTTCAACAGAAATAATTAATCTATTACAGATTTTGGGTGAATAGGACTAACATAATTCTATGTTATAGTACTCTTTTAGCTGAGTACAACATTTTCTTAATGAAAATCGGCGCAAGCTTGAAATAAACTCTTCGAAGTTTGTTTAGATCGGCTCAACGAACATGGTACGTCCTAGCTTGTTTAAGGACCTTAAAAGTGGCTACATTCGGTTTGTACAACAGTGTCCTGCATGTCCAGCCGCCAATTCTCACACCGTCGAAAAAGGAAAAGAGTCAAGCAAAGGGATTCTATAATCAGCCACTCGGCAACCCATTCTTAGAGAGTAAAACAAAAGCGTAGAGATAGCGACGCCTAAGAAATCAGTCTCTCTCCGCTCAATTCATATAAGATTCACAAATGGGGAAGTATGAAATATTCACTGCACGACCCACCCTCAAAAAAATGTTTCTATATTGATTTCCTTACCTTTTCACTCTATCCTTAAATTGTCACTGTTATGTAAGAACATCTAGACATAATTCATATCATAGTCGCATTTTTCGGGAGCCAATTTTATCTGGAACCTCAAATAAATAATATAAAATAAGCTCATCCATGGGGAAAACACAATACAAAGATGGCAGATCATCATCTATCAGCATGCTAAAGGTCGTTCACACGCAAAATGAAAGAAGAATTTTCAATTTTCATCAAAATATTGAGTTCCACCTCAATTCTCATTGTTTGGTAAGATTTTCTCGGTTTCTGCATCCCTTGCAATTTGTACATGTTAAATGTCAAGATGAATATATTAAAAAAAATGAAATTATCCTCTACGTAGGGATGCAAACATACCAACTTAACATACCATGGCATTAGGTTCTAATTTCATTCTCGGTAATTAATGATTCCACAAGAATTATTCAGACTATATTCAGAACAGCTAACAACAATAGGAATAAATCATCAATGAGGCAAGAATACCATACATAATTCCAGTACTAGGAAACCGCTAAATTCTAACAAGAGAGAAAAATACACCGAGGCAAACTCCATACTGACAAAGCTGAATGTGGACACTTAGGCTCCGGTGAGCTCTGCAGAGCAAGTCGATGCGAAGAAAGATTCCGTACGTCACTAATGCCGCACGCTCGGATTCTTGCGTCTGCAGATCAGAAACATCTTAAAATTTAAAATTTGAAAGACAAATCAATAGTCGAAAACAATAAATCTCAAATTCGAAATTGCACTTAGTCCTTATCGAGATCGATCAACCTTGTTCTCGTAGAACTAATCCATTTTAGAAAAATGAAGATTTGTTGATTCAAGAGCCAAGACCCTGGGAAGAGATCGATCACCTTGTTCCTCAGACCGACGGATGCTGTAGCTTCTTACAGAACGGCGTTTTATCGGGGAGCACCATTGGAAACCGATTGGGGTTTCAGAGGAAGACATCTTCATGACCTCGTCGCGAACGGTCACTTCCTTTTTGTCGCCCGCCTCGATCCTGCCTCCATTTGTGATCGATGTTTATTTTCTCTATGTTTATACACACAACCCTTTGAGCTTATTGTATTTACATTCATAGTATAATTGGGTTGTGGGATTGTGTAACTTAGAGAGTGAGCTTATAATTCGTTCTCATTCATTGTAGAGAACAAACACTTTGTATTGAGCCTAATTGTGATGATTCACTTGTAATACACTTGTACACCGAGAGAAGTGTGTGGTGAGAGACGGGGTCGAATCCAAGAGGAGTGGCGTCGGTTGACGTGCCTAGGGAGAGGTTGTAACCGAGCACTTGAGGAGGAGGACACGGGCTAGGACCAACACTTAGTGTGTGAGGTGTGATTTCATAGTGATTGTATTGTGAGGTGTAAACGTTGTTCGGGTGAACGTAGAAAACCCGGTTGTGATAGTGGAGATCTCCTCGAGGTGAGGAGCGGAGACGTAGGTCGTGGGGACCGAACTCCGTAATCATATTGTTTGTTTGTGATTGCATTGGCGCACTTACTTTTATGTTTATATCTTATATCGCCTTTGTATATTGCTTGTTGATTATATTGCCCACTAGCTAGTTTAGATTGTTTACCCTTGAGTTTATATATCCTTGCACATACATTGCCTATATCTCTTTGTTAGGATATATCTTGTTGTTCATATTACTTATCCTAGCTCATATACATTGTTGTATTTCATACTTGCTAGGATAACTTATTAATTAGTTTTAATTGGTATTTAATCGTATTAGATTAGCATAAAACCCTAATCACCCCCCCTCTAGGGTCTAACAAAATCATCCTTCAGCTACAAACTTGAAATGCCCTTCTTATATTGGATTTTTTTTCATTCTTAGTACCTTAAATGTTTCATATTTCAAAATTAATTCCTCAAATCATTGAAATTATTATCAGGTCCCTCAAATCTTAGGTTATTTTGAAATTAATCCCTTAAATCATTGAAATTGCTATCAAGCCCCTGAATTTTTAGATTATTTTGGACTTGGTCCCTGACATAAAGCGTGCAAGTAGAAATTAGATGGAAATTAGTTTCTCAGATTATTAAAATGGCTATTAGGTTCTCAAATTCTCATAAAGCATTTATAATTAATCCCTCCAATTGTTGTTTCTACACTTGATTGAAGGGACTAATTTCTAAGTTACTCAAGAGTTAGGGAACGTAATAGCAAATTTAGTGATTTGAGGGGCTGATTCAAAATAACTTAAGATGCGAGGAACCTGTCAATGATTTCAGTGAGTCATACAAAATATGAAAGATGCAAGGGACTAAGAAAAAAAAAACCTACTATATTTCTCTCCGGCAATTATCACTATGTTCCAAGGTTATCCCTGGCCGAATATTTCTAAACACTGTCGAAATTTTAAGCTGGAGGGTAAAACTGGAAAAAGGAACTGTACCTAAAAAAACTCAAAATTGCTAGTTACACTTGCACACAGCGTGTAGTTAAAAAGGAACTGCAACTCAATTTATAATTAGTTGGAGGATAGAACTGAAAAACTGAAATGCACCTTTTAATTTAAACAGTTGCCTTCCCTCCCTAATTTGAATCACAAGAGCAAGATGAAGGTCCCTAATTTCAGTTTAGATTTGTTTTGATTACTATTTGTTCACACACAACCTATTAAGCTTATTGTATTTGCATACATAGTATAATTTAGGGTTGTGGGTTTGTGACTTATAGAGTGTGAGCTTTCATTGTGTTCTCATCCATATTAGAGAGAACAAATTATTGTATTAAGCTTTCATTGTGAGGATATACTTTGTAATACACTTGTACACCGAGAGAGTGTGTGGTGAGAGACGGGGAGTGACGTAGTGAAGCCTAGCAAGAGGTTATAAATCCGAGCACTTGAGGGAGACACGGGCTAGAGACCAACACTTAGAGGGTGTAGAGTGTGATTGCAAGAGTGTTGATTGTTAAGTTTTTGGTGAGCTAGAAAACCGAGCGTGAGGTGTAAATGTTTTCGGGTGAGTGTTGAAAACCCAATGTGATAGTGGATTTCTCCCCGGGAGTGGGGAGTGGAGACGTAGGACGGAAGCTGGTCCGAACTCCGTGATCATTTACTTGTGTTTGAGTTTGTCATTGACGCATTTACTTTTGTGTTTATCTTATATCGTCATTGTCTATTACTCTTTGTGTATATTGCCATATCACATTTGTAGTTTGTTTATTTTACCCTTTGTTTATATGGCTTATCATTGGTTATAATTGTTGCATATCTTACTTGCTAGGATAACTTGTTAATTAGTTTTAATTAGCATTAAATTGAATTAAATTAACATAAACCCTATCCCCCCCTCCCCTCTAGGGTTCTTTCCTAGTGGCATTAGGGTCTAACAATGTGTGTGTATGTGTGTATAAATATGCATATAATATTTGCAAAAGAAGAGTGAAAAAAAATGGGCACCAATAATTTAAGATGCTACTATCTTACTAAGCCTAAGTTCAATACAGGCCTATAATGTTTTAGCCTGGTTTTATTTTGGTCTTTAATGTTTGAAACTCATCAATAGAGGCCCTCAACGTTTAGCCATTTATTATTTGGTCCATTTTAATTTTTTCTATTAACTATTATTGACGTGACATGACTTTTCGGTTATTTTTGTTTGCAAAATTGGTTTGGTCACCCCTGATTTTTTAGAAGCAAGCTTTGCCCCCTAAGTGAAAACTTTTTTAATCCCCCATGTGAAAATATTATATTCAGTCCTTTGTTTTCTATGTTTTAAAATTAGTCCTTCAAATCATAGAAATTATATTGGCCTCTCAATTCATAAGGTATTTTGAAATTAGTTCCTCTAATCATTGAAATTGCTAGATGTCCCTAAATTCTTAAGCTATATTAAAGTCCATCAAATCAATACTAAAATTAGCAATAAAATGGATTAACTTGAAACAAATTTTGGAATTGTGTGACCTTATAAAAGTTTAGGGTCTGTTTGGTTCATTTCCCAGAAACCTAAGTTTGGGAAATGACCCATGGAAAATAGGCTGTGGAACCATTTCTCTATTTTCAAGCTCACT